GAGAGAGAGAGAGAGGAAGGAAAAAGAGGAGGTGCAAGGGACGCGAGAGATGGAAGAACGACGGATAGAAAGAAGGTAGATATTTCAAGGAAATGAAGAACTCGTGTAACAAGACTCCGCGATGTCTAAGCGTTTGTGATTCTATAAGGATAAGGGAAACGTGACTTCAATGCTCGTTCTAAATGTTGACAAAGATAACAACGAAGAGTCTACCCAAACGGTTCGGTATAGAAAGGAGGCCCGTTGTTTGTAAAATCTATTGTAAGCGTGATTTCATACTTCAAATAGGCTGTACAAATTACAGGCGTGATTTGTTTCTTGTAATAATAATAATTGTATCCAATTATATAAACGTATCCAGGTATTTTTTTTTTTTTTTTTTTTTTTTGAAAGAAGGATTTATCAATGTTCTGTTAACACATAAACAACAATCTTTTAACGAATTGCTTTTTTTTGGATATTTTTAGAGCTTAGAATATTTTTCCTTCCTGATTTTGAATGAGAAAAATATTAGATTTATCGTAAGTCATAATACATTAATTTCAACTTTAACTTTCTTCTTTTCTTTTTTTTTTTTTTTTTTTTTTTTTTTTTTTTTTTTAATTTTTGGTAAGGTTTTGAACCCGTCCTCTGGATACGTCCGTGACTACTATAATAATGCAAACCCCGTGTTTAATCGCGATTCCTCGAATTCACTGGAGAGCGCGTTTCGCGAATGCTTGAGTGCTTTTTTTTTTTTTTAGACGAGCAATTATTTGAGAACCTTTGAAGATTTTGCCGTCCGTACGAGCGGAGGCGCTTGTCGAAAAGTGGGCACTTTTAAGTCGCGGTATGTGCATTCACCGCACAACCGGCTACCTAGGCGAGCACTCGGGTCGCGAGGCGAACGCTCGCGTTACGCGCGGAGTGACACGAGTGTTACTCCTGCCCGCCGGCACAATGGCACGCTGCGCCGTGATGCGTTATGTGTTAGACCGGGAAGATCTTGTATATGATAAGAACACAGGCGGTGCAGAAATAGGAGTCCTACAATCTGGCTCGCAACAATGTTTGCGTCGACACTCGACTCGATCGGCTCGATCGAGACTCCTAGAGGAGTGACACTTGAATCAGCCGATTCATAAGAGATATCGCACATTTGCACATATTATCGCTGAAAAAAAAAAAATAGTCCTGCAGTCACAGCGGAAATCATTTAGATACGAAAAATTAGCTAAAATGGATAAGTGACAAGCGAACAAGCTCCGCGATATCGCTGTTGTAACGTTTTGTATTTTAATCGATATAAGTGACAGAGGCAGAATTTATATTTGAACGATTTGTCAAATTTAGCAAGACCGTCTTTCTGTGGCGTCCAGTCAGATAATAGCCAGTTATATTTCTTATAAAAGTGCGATTTAGTTATGAGACTTAAATTTTCCAGCATATATTGTTAGATGTTGCTGCTATAAGTTTTATGTAGGACAGACAATTTTCCAGTGGATAGAAAAATGATACATTTTTAACTCTAATATTTAGAATTCTAGCTAGACCAGCAAAATATTTTTTTAAGTGTGTATGTCTTGTAAAGATACACAAATACTCCTGATTTTTAGGAAAGACGCAAAGAAAAGGAAACTAAATTTAGATATAATATATCTTAGATTTAAATATATCGAAAGATATATTTATATATCAATTATCTTACACAGGAAAAAAATTAGTCTTAAATCAAAATTATATATTCTCATACATAAGTAAAAATATTATAATCTTCTTAGAAAAATTTTAGTCTTGCTTTTTGAATTTAATGCATAGATATTCTCATTTATAAGTAAGAATATTAATTTTCATACAGAAACTTTTTAGTCTTGAGTTGAACAAAAATAAAACTTGCATTAATACAAATTTAATCAAGACTAAAATCACATTAAGATTAAATTTTTAAAAAAGTTATAATATTCTTGCTTATATGTGAGAATATTTGTCTTGACATTTGTCTTTAACACCAATTTTTTTTCTGTGATATAAAAAATAAATAATTATGTAGCTTGATAGCAAGAAAGAGAGAGAAAGCATTATTCCCTCGACTGTCTTCAAGGTAAATGTTAATGATTCTCCAAATGTCTTATAGATTGCTTTCGTCGATGGGACCGGATGGTATCTGTTCATCGATCGATATAAACTTGAGTATCATTCCGTAATCCACTTTCATATTGCAAATGTTAATATCGCGGAATCTCCCTAGCGTCAAATGTATGATTGAGACGAATTGGATTCTAAAGTCATCCCTTCTACAAGAGCTATGTATATAGAATATGTACATAGCACTCTATTTCAGTGAGAGCTACAATAACACATTGTTATTATTATATGCGAAGTAGCTGAGATCATTCATCTTTTCATCATGAAACGATGATTTGTTAATAGATAATGCTCTATACAGACAAAAAATTAATTTTAAATCCAGACTATATTCTCATATATAAGCAAGAATATTATAATCTTCTTAAATAAATTTTAGTGATGAAAGTATATATATATTCTCTTATTTAAGAATAATTTTCATATAGAAAATTTTTAATGTTGAGAATTGTACAAAAGTAACATTTGCATCAATACAAATTCAAATCAAAACTAAATTTTTTAAGATTATAATATTCTTGCTTATATATGAGAATATTTTTCTTAATTTAGACTAATTTTTTTTTCTATGTACAGATAATATTTTTATTGCTTGCGGAAACAATATTTACCGGGCGTGAAATAATTTCTCTGTGGGAATCGTTTGATAATAAAAATTTCGCTCGGTAGCTGAACGCGGAAATGATTAACGCGCGTATCACGTATGCAGCGATGCATCACGAGAGACTACGAACGACGAAGGGAGATGGAGTAGCCAGCGAGGGGAAAAGGCAACTGGGTAACGTCGTGATGTTCACGGGGGTTTGCGCCCTTACGAAGCATTTCGTCATTCGTTCGCCGATGGACTCGCTCGCGTTGAATCAGACACAGCGCCTTTCATAACAGCGTAAATTGACAAACGATGTAAACGAGAAAAACTGATTATGTCATCCGATATGCAAAGATTTAATAGAATGAGAAGCCTTCTATAAAAGGCTTCGATTAATATCCAAGGACTTCGCTCGAACGAGCTGACGCGACGTCAAAATTAAGCATGTCGATATCACTGATGGTGGGGACCAGCGATCGCATGCAACTTTAATATCTTCATACTATGAGCGTTGATTAGGCCAACATCGCGGCCGACACGATAGTTATTCAGTCTTTTGACGATACGATCTCGACAACGAGACGCCAACCGAGAAAGGAAAAAAAAAACTACCGTACATATGTGGACGTTTCGGATCGGTCACGAGATGCGCATTTTCATTTAACGTTGATACACTGTCGACGAGGAAAGGCGAAATAACTGCTACTCCGAGCCTCGGTACCGATCGAGGAGTTAATTAACATACGAGATTCCGGAAACCACGGACGAACGGACGGACGAACGAATGAACGGACGGGTCGAAACTGGCCAGGAGGATGCGGGTCCGTTAAAAACAATTGGACTCGGTCGAAAAGCGGGTCACGTAGATACGAATGGAATGAATGAATGAGAGAGACTCGACGACGGCGACGATGAACGACCGCCTTACTACCGGGTTGCTTCGATCGGCGCTACTCGCTCGGGAAACGTCGTTAGTCTCCGAAAACTAATTGTAAGTTACGAGAGATTCCATTAACGAAGACGTTGACCTCTCGAAATTCTGATTTTCCCACGGTAAATTGATTCTGTCGCCAGCGCGCGGTTTCACATGAAATTCCGCGCGAGCCTCTTTCTTTTACGGAAGTACGATTTAATAATGGCCAATTTAATTTCACAAAAATTACCAGGAGGACCACCGTTGCAAAAGCGGAGTGACGCAATTTCGGAACTTGAATTGGAATTTTGCCAAAACTCGCACGTGGTTAGGCAGAACGATACTCCGATCACAGCTTCCGAATCAGTAGCGCGGGCTGTTTATCTCTTATCTCAGCATCGTCGCTGCGACACACAGATGTACGTATTTCGATGAAAGAAACAGGAAGATCGATTAAATGAAATTAGCACTAACTCGCATTAGTGCGACCGGCCCTTCGGACCAGTCACACACTAGTTAACCAATTGCGATTGGCGATATTGCTCTCATTCTCCACCTAACGATGGTGCTTATGGTGTAGATAGAGAAGGGGAAGATTAGTTAATCGCGGGTGAGCGCTAACCCACATTATGCTATGGGCCCTTTGAGGTCAGTTACACCGATCACGTTGCCCGATCACCTTGTGGTCATCTCATTAAATCCACCTAGGTTCTCTCATCCCTTTCTTTTTGGACGACAGGAGCTGCTGGCTGCTCGAACGGTTACACGAACGGAAAGCGGATGGGTACGAAGTCGGGTGTAACGGTAACCCACATCGCACAGTGCAACCAACCCTCTCCGGGTCAGAGGTGCAACCCGGGAGGCAGCCGCGCGCGCGATCGCATCGCGTCGCATCCCTCGGCGAATCTCCAACGTGTCGGCAAAAAAATAAGAGAGAAAAGAAGTCATGTAATTAGATGATTTATGATTACTTACGAGCCTGAAGCGACGATGTGTACGTGCAACGGGAAGTATAAGTATCCTGTCGACTCTCTCGGGAGAGGAAGGAGAGGAGGAAGGGAGAAGAGCGACTAAGAGTGACGATCGCGGCGGACAATCACGAGATCGTACCACTGGATGCGAACGCGTGCACCCCAACGCGCATATCGCCACGATGTCACCGACGCGAAGTCCAGCGAGCGACTGTTGCGTCCCGGCGATTTGCCGCCCCGCGCGACGCGACGCCGCCGGCTCGGCTCGGCTCGGCTCGGCTTGGCTCGTCAATGCGAGGTGGTTCCGTACGTACGTGTTTTACACACGGTCATACGCACGCCGCCTCCCGTCTTCCTCGCGCACCTCACCTCATGCCCGCGCCTTTCCTTTCGCAGCCTCGCGCGGCACCTCCAAAGCGCCAGTGTCTCCCCGAAGTTCTCCCCGAGGTATGCGTTGCGCATACCTCCATGTATCAACCCTTGGTTATCATTTTCTTCCTCTCCCCCCTGCTGCTTCCTCGTCTCACGGCCTCCTCAATTATGCGCGTCTTTCTTGATTTACGACGTATGACCGGAGGTCGGTCTTGTGGAACACGGTCCAGATGCCGTCGTGATTTATGGAGGTATATGTACTAAGATGCGACTCGAGCCACTTGAAGCCAATTTCGCCAACGTTTATTAACTAATGTTTAATTGGCTGTCCGTTTCCTTCTGGAGGACTGACTCTCGTTACCTATTTACGTAGGCTGTCTCGTCAATTACAGTCAGCGCCAAATCGTGATAGAATCGAGTTTAAGAATAAATATCGCAGACAAAAATAAAATAAAAGAGAAGGAAAAATAGAAAATGGCAAGAAGGATCGTAATTTACTCTATGTTGTTAACTCTATTGTTGTTAATGATCTTCCGAGCGAAGTATCGCGTGTTTACACCTCAGATCGTTGATTAATCTTCATTACCGTCTCGGGTATTAACCGGGGTGTATCTATTAAGTTGTTTCCTGAATATCTCTTCTCTTTCCTTCCTCCTCTCCGTTACCATTCTATTGATCGTAAATTACAATTACGTAGTTAACGACTGAGATTGTCGGTGGTGAGAAAGGCGCAAGATGCGTGTATACCGCAAGATGCGTGTATACCGCTGTCTACCGACGTTACGCGGAAAAAAATTCGTTATTTTTATACCGTCGATCGGGTTTTCCCTCCGCGCGCCGCAGCGGAGACGCGGACAGGGGCGAGGGCGGTTAAAGGGGGGAAACGCTCGTTAACCCCTTCGGCATACTTATACGTCGACGCACTGGGAACTTGATACGTGCGAGTGTACTCGCGGTCGTAGAGAGAATTAACTGAGAATACCCGGTTCGCAAAAATATATCCATATATGATAAGTCGAATTCAGAGTATTGTAGATTACTCTAATTAGGACTAGACTCCCGAAGGAAATTCTGGATTTGCTCGTGCGCGATGTTATATTTTCCCGAGAAACTATGTTTCTCGCTTTCCCTCTCATCACAATCGCTGTTGGTTGAAATTTATAAATGTGCAAATGTAAACTAATAAGTATAATTAACTGAATAAATACATAAACATTTACAAACTGATAAAAAGTGCTTCAATACTAGAAATACATAAAATGGAAATTTTTCAATTACAGCTAAATCTTGGTATCTAATAATTATTTTTTTAATATATTTATGTATATAAATTATAAATTCTAAATTTTATATATATATATATATATATATGTTCTTTCAATAGAATTTGTTTCTACCACAAATTGTGTATTATCAAGGATCTCTTTAAAGGATAATTTAATCAGAATTATATATCCTCTTTAATATCTCGATAATCGATGATATCGATTAAATTAAAAATATAATTAATTTAGATTAGATATAGATTAAGGTTAGTGGCACATAGGAAACCATAAACTTTAAATAGTAAGCGAATTGACCAGACAAAGATTGTTTTAATAATAATCTTATATTTTCGATAATTCTCCATTTAATTCATTAAGAAAATTTTTTTACCTATATTTTTCTATTTACTTTTAGTATAACAATAAATTAGATAGAAATTAACGTAGAAATTAAATTTAAGTTTGGCTAGGTTCATTGTATTAGAGGTAAGCAAACAACTGTGAAAGCGAAAGTCCTCATAATTCCCAAAAAAATAATAAAAAAAATATATGTGTGTGTGTGTGTGTGTGTGTGGCGCGCGTGGTGTGTGTGTGTGTGTGTGTGTGTGTGTGTGTGTGTGTGTGTGTGTGTTTGTAAATCATTACTTCTAGGATCCTGCTTACGGAATAATGACATCTAATATTCTGCTCTTTGACATTAATATTTATTTTTATGAATGTAGATTAATTTTAATCTTTATTTAACTTACTCTTCATCTTTTTAAGTTTAGAAATTTGAAAAAAATAAAGAATTAATTACCGAATTTATTAAATTCTGATATTAAATACCGAAATTGAAGTCGCTCTACTTTAATAGAAATATCATATAAAAATATCATCCTTTTGATGGTTCCAAGCGACATGAATGTATCGAAGACTTTCCACGAGGGAAAAAGTAGTAAAATTTTTTGGGTAGCAGAGGGATGCATGCACGCGGGTAGGAGGTGCAAATCGCGCTACGGCCAATGACGTAGTGTGTCGTGTTTGAATCGTTCAGCGACGTTCGACCCGGCTCGGCCGACCAATGGCGGACGTGCGCGAGCCGAGTTTAGGATCGGCGCGTCGCGTTGCGTCTCGGCCACCGTCGACTGCAATCAACAACAGTTCAGCAGGATAGTTGAGCGTGCCGTTTCACGCGCCATTATGGATTCGCTGGCGAATTATGCCAGTGACGGTGATAACAGCAACAATTCGGACGACGCGAAGGTGAGCGCGAAAATCCGGGTTCACTCGTCATCGTCATCGTCATCGTTATCGTTATCGTTATCGTTGTCATTGTTGTCGTTGTCGTTGATGACCGTCGTTATCAGAACGCCCCAATATCGGCGGTGCACACCACTCGACATGGCTCCGCGATGCGCACTATTCGATGCCGCAACTTACATCCGGTTTGAAGACACGATCGCGTCTCTCATGTCGCGACGTTTGCGAATCGCCCTGCGAGCTGCGAGTTTATCCGCGAGATTAGAATCGTGAACGTAGCGGCCTTGCGTAGCCGAGGTTAACCGAGCGATCGAAATAATTGATCTTGTTTCTTTTTTTTTTTTTCTCTAGACGCCGACCCGAGGACAAGAAGAGGCGAACAGAAGGGCAAGCGATGCTAACTACGACCCGGTGCAAATGGACATGAGTGAGGTATAGTGAAAGCACACGCCGTTAATTCTTAATTCTTAATTGTTAAGTATGAAACATTCGGACAATGCCTAAGAAGACACCACAGTGACTTTACGGGTGCTGTATGTACATGCAAAGTCTTAGGCCTGATATATAAAGGAGATAATATCCGGTTTTGCAAGGTCATGTCACATTGAGTCGATTGGTTAATCCTATTTAATGAGTAAATTACAAATTTGCAAGACATAAGAGTAGTGTGTCTATGCATACGCGACAGTTACATTCGGGTTGTGATTGGGTATAAACTGCAGTGTATTCATTATAAGCAAAAGTTAGGCAAAATTTGCGTTTGGTGCTCGTAGTCCAAATAAGACAAGACCTTGAAACTTTATTGAATGCAGGATAATCAGGTTCTATCATTGACATAATTAAAATTTAAATGATAAGTAAATGGGAATAGTGCCATTTCGTGAGACAATATTAACACGTAGCTCTGTTGGTAATACATGATACAATATCTACGCATCTCGGCAAGGTCTATGCTGTGTGAGGGTCTTTCAAGACTACCCCCAAGTCCTATTCAGAAGACAGAGGTGAGTAGAGGAAGCTGGCAGAAGGTAACACTAACAAAACATCAATCATCAAAGAAATCACATGTACAAGTATACTCGGGTGATAACTAACTGCAGAGGCAGATTGATATGAAGGGCCCTCATATTCCTCTCTCTCTCTCTTTCCTTTTTGTGACATGGTTGTTTCGTACATTGGTTCTATTTTACATGTCTCAGTATAATTAGTGTATACAGATTATATTATTGAATACAGCGACATGCGGAAATCTGTGTGTCGCCAGACTTTTGTATCAAGTACAACCAAGGATGCGAGAAAAACTGAATTTCCACCTTTTATACAGAGGAATTCTTCGGGTTTATGTTAGTTTTACATTCAGTATATAAGAGCGTTTTCTCTCTTTGCATAAAACGTAGGTTTCTATAATACATATTACTCACTGTCAGAGAATCCAACTTTGCGTGTATTGAAGTTACGTAATTTTAAAATAGTTTTTTGTGGTAGGAATTAAGCTATTTCTTACTTAGTAGAATATATAAAGGAAACTTGTACTAAAATTGATAATTTTTCTTTTCTTTAGGAAAGCAATAACAACAATTCATCCAGAGAATCCAGTAGCGAACGCACAAACAGTCCTACAACGGCTCAGTCCAATTTTGGCTCGAGAACGGAATCATCTCGAACTTTGCCTTCTCCTTCAGACCAGAGGTAGGCTGGTTTGTTGACTTTATAAAATATATATAGTATTATATAGTTTTGTGTATACATATACAAACGCGCTACATAATGATACTTTATAGATATCAAACTTGTTATGAAAATTTTATGGTATATCTCACTAAAATTATATCGTATTATACACCTCTGTCATATGTACAGAATAATAATACGCATCTGTGTGGTATACCCCTGCAGAACGTAATCGTTTTACAGGCGAGCCGATCACGAGAATCATACAAGTTCGAAAGATGATCATAGGCGAGGAGACCGTAGCGAACGGAGTCGTTATTCGTCCGATAAAAGTCGGCGCTATGATGATCGAAAACAACGTGACAGTAGTAGTAGTCACAGGGACCGAAGTAGAGATCGAAGGAATCGAGATGATGACAAGCGTAAAACATCTCTCTCGTCTAAGGACGAAAAAAATGATGACAAAGAGAAAAGCGGAGACAAGGATCATCATTATAGAGACGATCGAAGGGATCGTAATCGCGACAGGAATGACAGGAATGATAGGGACAGACGCAGGGATCGCAACGATCGCAATGACCGCAGCGAACGTGACCGACGCCACTCCAGGGATGACCGATCGAAGGATCGATATCGGGATGAACGTTCAAGCTATCACAAAGAAAGAGCTCGCACGCGATCGAGATCGCGTTCGAGGGATCGCGCACCACCATCGTCATTCAGGACGATGAGTTACCGGGAAGAGAAAGGACGGAACAAACTGGCACAGTTGGAAAAATTGGGCATAGAGTTGAAACCACCGGAAGGTGGAGACATTGCGACGCCGGGCATCCAGGGTGAACAAAATTATTATAATCCATTGGCGACGGCGTCACAGGGCAAATATGCAGAGCAGATTCAGAAGAGGAAGCTTTTGTGGGCGAACAAGGTGACAATTATACGATAATAGTATCTATATCTAATGAGCATATACGATAGTCTCGTTTTACAATCACGTTTGTCTCTTTGCAGTCGAAACAAGACGACGGTAATAACACATCAACCACGGCTTCTGCCGCCAACACATGGATGGGAACGACTTTCACGCACGATCAGGATGGGAAAGTGACGGCCAAATTCAAACGATTGATGGGTATTAAGGGCGACCTGCCCAACGCATCAGCGGTAGGAGCTAAACCGGATATTTTGAAGAAACAGGAGGAAATGTTTAATAATATGGAGCAACAATACGAAGTAGCGCGTGCTACCACGCACACGCAACGTGGAGTAGGACTGGGTTACGCTACCGGTGGCTATCAGTTTCCGCGATAAAGTGCATTGAAACCTCATGCTTATTTAATTATATTTAATACTGATAGATGCATAGATAATGATGACGATGATGATAATAAAATTACATTCAGCGACCTTATGTCGATTCGGTCTTTTTTTGGACTGAATCGCGCTATTTCTAAGTCTTTCCCTGCGAGTCATGAGAATGATAGCAAACTGCAGCTAACCCAGGTTCAAAGTTCACCATACGATTGCAATGAAGTTATGTATTTGCGCGTTGTAAGCACTGAAAATAAATTTATTAAGATTATCTAAAAAAAAAAACAAACTCTGATATTGTTCATCTAAAGATTAAATTTCTCTTCCGATTGTCCCAAATTTATAAATTTATAAATTATAAAACTCGATATTAAAAAAGCAAAATTACATTTATTTCTCATTTTATATATATTCTCTATTTTTATTTAATGTTATAATTTAATTATATTTAATGTGATAATTTAATTATACTTAACATGCTCCATTCAATTAGTAATATAAGTACTGTATATACTTTCTGTTTTTTGGACCGCGCCTTTATTAACTGTCGACCTTGAGTGAGTCAACTCTAACTCTTTATCTTTCTATGTTGGGATGTATTAATTTTAATTTAATTACAGTGGAAATTATATCTACTATACCTTGAATCTCGGAGCCGCTGCTTTTTCTGGAAAGGAGCTTTCTACTTGGATTCACAGCAATATCTTTGTATCTGTAGTTATTTATGTATGTTAGTATATTAGAGATAATTCAAAAGAAGGACTGAAACGTATTTGAACGTAATTATATTTAAAATTTTGAAGTATTTTATTATTTTATCACTATGCACGAATCTTGCTCTTGTATCTGCTGTTTCCTTTTATCTTATTTATCTCAAATTTAATCTAAATACAAACAAGAATAGTAAATTAATTATTTACATCACAAATCTGTTACATAATACATCTTTTATTTTCAAAATTAGATTCATTCGAATATCTTGAATAATTTATTAGTCTCGACTATTCGACTATTCGGTTAGTATTGTATTCATGATGTTATATAATTTATATTCGACAACTTATTTTCGATCTCGCCCAGAAAGTTGAGTAGATTGAATATTCGCGGATAACATGACGGACACACCTGTGGTGGCAACACTGTAAAACGGAAATGCGCAGCAAGTCAGAGCACGGAATCTCTAGCGGTCAGTACGCAGCTGTGCCTCATGTGTTTATCAATATGGCGTCTGTCGTTTGATTTGAATTTGTTCGTTAGCCTAAGGCTTGCCCGACGCGAGTGTTGTGCTGCCGATCGTGAGGAAGAGTTCTATGAGGTCTTGGCGACTGGTGTTGAATTGACGTCCACGTTTCCTCGACTACGCACAATGGATAACTTCATAAAAATAGAGAAAATCGGAGAAGGTAAGAGTATAGAAACGTAATGAAAAACTGTTGTTGTCAAGCTGTTGCATGCGTGTGCATCACGTGAGAGTACATTAGTAAAAAATATTCAAGCATTTCTTTGGCCGGTGACTATGCAATGTAGTAAAAGATATTTGTGTTTTTTTATAATATGTTTTTAAATATTATATGATGTATATCTAAGCGTTTTTGGTCAGAGAATTATAAATGTTAAATAGGCAATGCAATGTATTTCTTATAGTATTTCTTATCTAAGACCATTAGTAATTGCACTTGGTTTTAAACAATATATGAATTTCATAAAACGTCAGCATTTAATGTAAATACAATATGAAATTTAGAGCAATATGTTTTAAGAAACTTTTGATTTTTTTTTAGGTACGTATGGAGTAGTATATAAAGGAAAGCACAAGAAGACTGGAGAAATTGTAGCGATGAAGAAGATTCGTTTGGAAAGTGATGACGAGGGAATACCATCGACTGCTATTAGAGAAATTTCATTGCTTAAAGAGTTATCTCACCCAAACATAGTTAGCTTGATCGATGTGTTAATGGAAGAATCAAAACTTTATCTTATTTTCGAGTATCTCACCATGGACTTGAAAAAATATATGGATAGTTTAGGCAACAAGATGATGGAACCAACTGTAGTCAAATCATACTTATATCAGGTTTGTTTACTTAAAAAAACCATCTTATCTCTCTTGAAATAATATTAGATAATGTTTAGAAACATTGCCTAAATAACTTTGTATATCATTTTATTCTTGTTTATTGAATGTTAAATAAGGATAAAATGTTATATGGACATTTGGATGATATTTCCGGATTTAGCCTTAATCTCTTTTTTTATTATTTTTTAATATTATTAGATGTTTAAGTTGTTAGAGAAAATTTCATCTAGATTAATCATATGTCTGTTGCTTGTTCTTTCAGATTACACGTGCAATTTTGTTTTGTCACAAGCGTAGAATATTGCATCGTGATTTGAAGCCACAGAATTTGCTGATTGATAAGACTGGTATCATCAAAGTAGCAGACTTTGGACTAGGAAGAGCCTTCGGAATTCCAGTCAGAATATATACACATGAAGTTGTAACTCTATGGTATAGAGCACCTGAAATTCTTCTCGGTGCTACTAGATATTCATGTGCGATTGATATGTGGAGTATTGGATGTATCTTCGCAGAGATGGCAACCAAAAAACCATTGTTTCAGGGAGACAGTGAAATTGATCAACTTTTCAGGATATTTCGGTAAAATTTTTATACATTAATATAGAAATGTGCTATCTTTTTTAATAAAATCATCTAATGATTTCATCTTCGTAGGATACTAAGAACGCCGACAGAAGAAATATGGCCAGGCGTAACACAATTGTCGGATTACAAAGCGACATTCCCGAACTGGATGACGAATAATTTGGAGTCGCAAGTAAACACGCTGGATGCAGATGGATTAGATCTATTGCAGGCTATGCTCACATATGACCCCGTGTACAGAATATCTGCTCGGGCGGCATTACAACATCCATACTTTAGCGATTTGGATACCTACAAAATACCTGCTGCATAAAACAGAAATCACTCGAAAAGGAAAGAAAAAAGGAATAAATTGTTATTTCACATTTTAATCGTGTGACTACGTGAAGAGTATGTCTCAAGGTGTATTCAAAGTTAATTTATTCGAGTAAATGTCCTTCATTTTATTTAATCATTTTGTCGAAGTTTACATTTGTATTTTTTAATAGAGTTTTCATGTGCGAACAAGTGTGGTTTTTGTTAAATTACATAAATTTCATACATATATAAGTTACTGTAATAGTAGTAATAGATTATTCTGTCTAACGTGCTGCATTTAAATAGTAGTAAAGTTTTATGCAATACTCTGTTCACAATTTTTTACTTAATGATGCTAATTTCATATATTTTCTTGGATTTAACATTTTATCGATTCATGTTTAATTAATGTTAATATTACATATCTGAAGGTTTCATTTTATGTTTAATTCATTTTTGCTATATGATGCATAATTTCCTATATTCATTACTTTAAAAGAATTAATTCTAACTAAAGTCAATTCAGATATCAATTAATATCAATATCAAAATTGAATTATCTTTGTGCCTTACTCGCTAATTAATAATAATTTAAAAAAAATTATAATTATAAATTAATTATTAATAAGAAACGAGATCGATATTTTGTAAATGGAATCTACTATATTACATTTATATGCCTTAGCAGAAAATTTACATATTATATAAGCGTTGGTCGCCTTAATTCTAATGTAAAGATTTTGTATCTAACAAATAAAAATAATATTTTATAAATCTCATGTAACAAAATAACAAATCATTTCATAAAATTGTCATCAAATTATCACCATATGGAGCTCACTTTAAATCACATTTATTTCTATGAAACATGAGAGAGCCCATATATAGATAATTAGTAATTCTCGGAAGGCATTTATACTATTGTGTTCACATATATGTGAATGCGTCATCACGCTCATTGGCATAATTGCACGTCAATGATAATCTCAGATTTTTGAAAAAAATGTGTAAGTATATAGAAATTAACAATATTAAGTTTATTATAAAGAAGAAAGATGAATCAGTGTTATCGATTCGTGATTACTGAGAAAAAGTACGACATGTTCTGTATCTCGATCCTTGTTTGTATTCTGTATCCCAGTGAATGTGTGTGTGACCCGTAATTGATCGAAGAGTGGGGCACCGCTCACATAAAGTCCATCTCCCCAGTGGGACTTGTGTTTATAGTGCGAACAGAAAGATCGGCAGCAAGAACACTTCACAGTGAGTATGCTTTCCATTTCCATAACTTCAATATTTCTCCTGATATTTTTTTAATTGTTTTATCTAATTTTTCACATGATATTTCTACAACAATTGTACACGTTGTGGCTTTATTTAAGTTTCTATTCTTTAGAAAATCTCGTTTCGCTCTTTGTGTTCAAAGGAAAAAAAAGACATTGTTTATTCTTCGTACAAGGCAAATTGACAGAACGAATAGTGATTAAAAACGAATGTTACTTCTACTTTTCACGAAGTAAATCCTGATTTCATGTCTGTAAATAAAAAAGACTTTCCTACGAGCAGGAAGAAAGACGTTAATTGATTTACATTGGTGCGCACATGGAATGAAAATTTTCTCAGCGATGCGGAGAAAGGTCGCGATAGGTCGATCCTAATCATGCATTCATCGGTCGTCACCGTACATTTATTACCGTATATTTATCATCGAGCAATCGTACCGTAGAAAAAAGAAACGAAGATACATGTAGCCGCCAGTAATACGAGAATCGGAGGTCCTTGCTCCGCGATGCGTGTCCAAGGCGAATGAATCATACTCGATCGGTTGTAGTCGGGATCACGGCTATACGCGAGTCTAAAAAAACTTTTCTTGTACATGAGTCCGCATATACCGGATATATCGTTGCGCGTACTGAGAAGAGTTTACATTAAAATTGAAAAATGCATGACGTCATCGCTTCCGTCGAAACTTTGTAATTGCGTCGTGAGCAAAGCTTCATTCATATCGCTCACAGACACATGTCATGAAAGAAATACCTTTTAAATATTATTCTACATCATATTTCTATATATCTAATTATTTTTATTATATAATAATTGAACAACTCGCAATTACTAAGCAATTCTTTTTGTGTGTTATCAAATATTAAGAATATATGAGTAAACATTTACTTATCAAACTTGTGGAATATCAAACTTGTGGGAATCATAATCTTCTGCGTGAGAATCTGAATCATCTAAACAATGTTATTCATTTTCTTATCTGTTCTAGAAAATGCAGTTTCTTGCCTGTTTGGTATTGGCGGGATGCCTCGCTTTCGCACAGGCTCATACGTACCATATGGGTCCTTGTCCCATAGTGGAACCTATGCAGGGTTTCCAGATGAGCAAAGTACGTCAATTAATTTACATTTATTGAGGAATATTATATACAAAATACTTTTATCGATAGCAATAGATGTTTCTGTAACAATTTGCAGAACATTTCATCCTACAATCAAATTGATTTCAAATAATCTGTTTGTTAAAAATTTTAGTTTCTGGGATTGTGGTACGTTATTCAGAAAACGTCAACAGGTAGCAAATGCATCACTTATAATTACACGCGAGGAGAGGAGCCGGGCGAATATGTGATAACACAGGACTCGGATCATCTAATCTTAGGTAAGGCAATTAAAAAGCAATAAGGGCAATTGATAAAGAAAGAAGACAATACATGAATCTCTACGGAGCGTGTATCGGGCTCTATCGAGTCATAAAAGCGTCAATGGGATAAATGTCTAGCAAGTGGGATGAATTATCCGTAATTGTATGATGCATATGTACAGGTCTTACACCATTGAAGCACGAATATCACTATACTGGCCAGCTTTCTGTACCCGAACCCAGTACTCCGGGACGTATGGAAGTTCGTTTTCCTCTTAGTAAGTGTTTTAATACTAGAATTTATCTGATTTCTATTTTTTAAATTAATATCTTCTTTATTAAAGATATATAATTTTGGAATTACTTTCTTTATTCTTATGAAATTAGTCAGACGATTGTAATATTCTATCCTTAATGCTAGAAAAAATATTAATTAATATAAATATTAATAAATATCAATAAATAATAATTTATAAAATATTAATAAATATTAATTTAAAAAATAGAGAAGAGAAATCATGCCAAAAATAATTGCTTGATACTTCTAATGTTATTTAGTATTAAAAAGATTATAATATTTGAAAATGGAAGAAGGACACATTTAATTTTATAGAAACAATGCTGATGAACATTTCGTACGTTATATGGCAAAAGCTACAATTAGATAATAGATTCAGTTATAATCGTGACTTCCTCCTTAATTTGTTTATAAATGATAAGATGACAGGCAAACTGAAAATAAATGTGCTACATACTAATCTCTTATAAACGATGGGTTCGCGCTTGACAATTTCCATACAAATTGCAAGTTACTACCGTAATGTTGTGCAACTAAAATTCGTACTTGTGATTTAGATGTGGCCGGAAGCGCATCTCACGTGGTATTCACGACGGATTACGACAATTATGCTGGCATATTTACGTGTCAGAAATTGGCATTCGCCCATCGACAGAGTGCCACGATTCTCTCAAGGACCCGCACGCTGGACCAGGTGCAAGTGGATAAGATACGTCAGCGGTTGGGTCAATACGGTGTCGATCCGTTCGAATTGAGCATCATCGTACAGACCGGTTGCCCACAAGCAAACGAAGATAATCTAGACATCAATATCGATCCCAACACTTTCACTTCTGAGAACTTGGGCAATGTGGTGCGCAAAGCAGGTGAGAAGATCGGCGACGGTGTTCAGTGGATCGCTCAAACCGGAAGTCAGGTCTATCACAAACTGACCGGAACGGAAGAGTCTCAGACATCATCGACGACGGAACGAAACAACCGCGTGACAAATGCCAAGAATAACAGTGAAAGATTAGAGACCAACGAGGTGGAGTGGATACCATAAAAAGTCGAGCAAATTTATTATCCGCAATGCGATCTTGATGTTAGACGTTCGATAGATCATCCATTAAGATCATTGTACTGATATATATTTGACTTTCTGTTATTTTACCTGATGATATTTTGTTTGATGATTTAATGACTTCGAATGTAAATAAAACTGCGAGAAAGGAATCAATATCGATTGATCAATTATCATATATAATTAGAAACATTATCACTTAATATATATTAAATCTTGATATTCAATAAAACTTTGACAAAAAAGCATGATGTATCTCTTGTCTGTATTTTATTTTTTATCTTAGTTTGTAATTATTTTATCATTGCTCTTTGATCTTATGTACACCATGCTCCGATTTCATTACATCATATAAACTTGTGACAATAGCTACAGGATATCCTGTTTGCGGAAGTCAACAATATCGATAATTTTGCGAATATTGTATTAAAAAGATTATACTAAAAGATTATCTTTTTCAACGACCAAACTATTTGCACGATTAGATTATATAAATTTCACAAATTTCTCAAAAAAAAAAAAAAAAAAAACCGAAAATACCACGAAATCCTCTCATTGCTAATTGTTGTAGACAAGAACTACTTTGTCTACTTTGTCTACAACTATTTACGGACAATGCGGATAAATCCATCGGCACGCTTTACAATAGGCCTCGAAAAAAATCAATTGCTCTCTCTCGCGAGGTGCTCCACATAAACAATCTCCATCACATGATTTAGACTCTCCCCCAATGCGTGTTTAACGCGATTGGTGCACGCGTTTGTATATGCGTGATTGTGAATATTAGTATTCTGACGTCTCGTACGAACCATCAGTCTGATAGTGACTGCTGAGGAGAGACGAGCGGCGGATTTTGGTGGTTCCAAGCAGCACGTTCCATCTCCGATATCTTCGAGCGCGTCTC